GAAGAGTTTTTTGGTCCCCATTTTTAAGAATAAAGGAGATGCACAAGAGTGTGCAAATTATAGAGGAATTAAGTTGATTTGTCATACTTTAAAATTATGGGAGAGGGTAATTGAACATAGTTTAAGACACATCATTAAAATTTCTCATAGTCAATTTGGATTTATGCCAGCCACGTCTATTATGGAAGCTATACATTTATTGAGAGGTTTGATGGAGAAGTTCAGAGATAATAAGGAGAATCTACATTTGATTTTTATTGATTTAGAAAAAGCTTACGATAAGGTTCCAAGAGATATCCTTTGGAGAGTTCTCGAGAAGAAATGTGTTGATTTGACTTATATTCAAGTCATTAAAGATATGTATACTAGAGCTGTTACTTGTGTTCAAACTGAAGGAGGATTGACAAAATATTTTCCTATTTCTGTTGGTTTACATCAGGGATCGACTTTAAGCCCATATCTTTTTGCTTTAGTTATGGATGGTCTTACTGGACATCTACAAGAGGATGTACCTTGGTGTATGCTTTTTGCTGATGATATTCTTCTCGTGGATAAAATGCGAGAAAAAGCCCAGGAAAAACTTGAATTATGGAGGTCTACATTGGAGTCTAAAGGCCTTCGTTTAAGTAGAACTAAAACTGAATATATGGAATGTAATTTTAGTAGTAATAGCTCTAGTGACAGAAGTGTGACTTTGGGTGATCTAATTATTAAAAGGTGTGAACGATTTAGATATCTTGGGTCCGTTGTCCAAAGCGATGGTGATATAGATGGGGATGTTAATAGTAGAATTCAAGTTGGTTGGTTGAGGTGGAGGAATGCTTCGGGCCTTTTGTGTGATAGAAAAGTACCGCTAAGACTGAAAGGAAAATTTTATAAAACGGTGGTGAGACCTGCAATGCTCTATGGCGCTGAATGTTGGCCTTTAAAAGAGAAGCATAATAATAAGTTAAGTGTTGCCGAGATGAGAATGATTAGGTGGATGAGTGGCTTGACACTTAGAGACAAAATGCGGAATGAATATATTCGTGATAGGGTTGGTGTAGCTCCTGTGACAGACAAAATTAGAGAAAGTCGTCTTAGATGGTTTGGTAATATTAAACGTCGACCATTAGATGATCCGATTAGGAGAGTAGATGTTTTAAATTCGACTTGTGTTAAGAAAGACAGAGGTAGACCTAGGAAGACTTGGGCTTATTGTATTAAAAATGATCTTAATTTACTAGAACTAAATGAAAATATGACACTAAATAGGACGCAATGGAGAAAAATGATTCATGTAGCCGACCCCACGTAGTGGGATTAAGGCTTTGTTGTTGTTGTTGTTGTTGTTGTTGTTGTTGTTATTTAGATTTTTAGCAAGGGCTTTATATTTTTCTGGGCAAGAAATTGCGACTCTAGTGCCTTAAATGTCACAAGAAGGCTCAATAATGCTCCTTTTTTAGAATTTTCTCTATCATTTTGTATATCTTGGCACTTTTTGTATTTTCTTTAGATTCTTTACTATTTATTTATTTTTCCATTATTTATTCTTTTTTTGTTTTCATTTTTTTTATGTCAAAAAATATTTCAAAACATTTAAGTGGAACATAATTCGTGTGCATAAAAGGTGGCATGATGTTTTCATTTTCATTCTATCTTCCAAATTCATAATCCTCTACTTTTGTTCTTGTGTGCTAGTCACTACCATCGAGTGAGCATATTTTGTTCCTCATTTTACTTTTATATTGTTCTTTTACACATACATTTTTGCAGTTTTAGGTTTTTTTCTCCTCTTTTTATTTATTGCCTATTATTATTTTACTATGTATATAATTATAATATTGGAAATATATTTATGATTTTCATTTATTTTTCTTTAATATTTTTATTATTATATATATTATCAATTATGTTTTATTCTTTTTTTAAATATTATTTCCTTATATTTTGTTTGGATGGCTTATATGCATGTATGCATTTACTTGGATTTTCCCTTTCCATGCATGTTAAATAAACTGCATCACAACCTCTAGTGGCCCAGGCGAACTTCAGCATGGGTGGCTACTCAGTTCCATTTTTTGCAAGTAGTGTAAAAAAAGAGTTATGTTAATCACTTAACCTTTTTCTCATGTGACTAGGATGAGAGGTGTACAAAGTTGAAGATTTATCCTATTTTGCAGAAGGTATTTTAAAATATTTTTATTTTTTTTAGCAATTGAGTTATAGTTAGCTCAACATTCTTTCATTAACTTAGTTTGATTTTAAATGAGTTCTGTCAGGTTTATTTGGAGAGGATTTTGAGAAAGCCAGAAATAGACGCTTTTGCCAATGAGTTAAGACCGCACCAGGTGCTATGTTTGCCATTGGTATTGTATTTTCTTTTTTGTTTGTTTATTTGTGCTCGTGTTCGTTATGTAATTGTGTGAATTTTTGCTTCTGCTTCTCAACAGAAAGCTCTTTTACCTGATAATTTCACTGTGCTGGACAGAGCAATGATTGAGCACAACCTTTTAAGTGCCAGCAAGCTATATACCAACATAAGGTTGGCGTAGTTAAAATTTGGATTTTAATATGCTTTCCTTCATTTTCATCTTCAGCTGATATATGATTTTTTTATTCGAAACAGCTTTGAAGAATTGGGAGCTTTATTAGGTATTGCGCCACAGAAGGTATATTCTTCTTAGTTAGCCTTGTGAAATGTTTTCTCTCTCCATCTCTTACTCCCACTTTTGTTGATAAGCACATTCATATAGTGCTCATACAATTTGTTATACTTTTTCTAACTGTTTCATTCATGCTTGAAGATGGTTCTGTCATTACACTTCACATGGTGTGAATCTCAGCATTATTATTCTGGGGGGCATTTACGTACATACCACCTAACTCTTATGTATTTACATATCTAACACTTAGACATTTTCACATTTATACCGCCCAAATCTTTCATATCACCTCAACAATATCATCATTTTAGCTTTTAGAAAGTGAAGTATACCTTTCATGCTTAGATAAGGTGGTTGAACTTTAGTTGGTAGACATGTAAATACATATGAATTCAGTGGTATTTATGTAGATCCTTAGATTATTTTTAAAGTTTTTGAGAAACCATTTTTTTTTATTGTTGTATATGTGATTCGTCATAGCTGTAGTGGGACAGTTCTTTTCCATTGATTATCCACGGTTTCTACCATCTATAATTTGTTTAGTATATCTATATTATATAAGAGGGAATGAATATACAGAAAAAAATATTGGTATGATTAAAGGTTGTTGTTGATCAAGATGGATAAAAGAACATACAATATAGTTGATGATGAAGAATGTCCCTAGGGAAGATTTTACAAAGAAAAGTTAGACTAGAAATGCTTCATATTTCATGTGTTTATCAACAACAAAGGACCAAAAAAGTTTTGGTGAAACATATTTGTTTAATGCATTTTTTGCATTTTTTTATTTTTTGTTTTAAAAAATAGTTTAGCTTATTTTTTAAAACACACAAAACATTTAGAAGTTATTCTATTTCAAGGAAAACATTTAGGGGCAGTTTGGAATCACTTTTTGTTTTTGTTTTTTTGTTTTTATTTTGTTTTGTTTATATTTTGATTTGAAATAAAATATATTTGGTTATAATAACTACTTTCTAAACATTCAAAACACACAAAAGCTATTTTGAGTGTTTTTTAAAAACAAGTTGCTTTTATTTTTTAAATAGAAAATAAAAACATGCCAAAATACACTAAACAAATTTTTTTTTTTTTGAAACAAAAGGTAAAAATAAAAACAAAAACAGAATACATAATTGATATCAAACGGTTACAAAATGAAATAAAAATAAAAATATGAAATAAAAAAATAAAAATTAAAAGTGATCCCAACCAGCTCCTCAGAAAATAAGTATGAAATTCTGCTGATTATTGAACTGAGAGCAGAATGAGAGTTAGAATTGATCGAAATTGCATGGAGAAAATTTGCTACACCAGACCAGTTATGATTACAGTTTTCCAGAAGGAATTACCTTGGTTATAGTTAAAAATAAAGCTCACTTTTCAACTCTTATGAATGTTATAGTGCAATTTACCAAATGAACATGCACTTAAGGGTTAAGAAGATGGCGATATTATGATTACCATAATGGCAATAATGGCTAAACTAGATTTGTCAGAGTGTTAGTTAAAGTTTTTAAATTTGGAAACTCTTGATTTTAATGCTGAAGTTTCTTGATTTTTACTTCTCAGTTTTTTTCTTCTGGAATCGAATTTTCCATTGTGGAACCAAGCAAAATGGAAAACTTTGCTATCCTTGCCCATCCTAGTTCTTTCTCTAATTATCTGTTTCTTTTTCCTGTGTTAATCTCCTATATGCTTTGGCAGGATGCCTTGTTCTCCAAACTTCAATTCTTTATTCCTTAAACGCATTTGATTGTCCTATATTTTTGCACTGTGCCTTATTGTCCAAACGAAATTCAGTTAAAATTTTTACTATTTTGTTAATAATAATTACTATGCATTGTGAAGGTGTGCTCCAGCAGTCCATATAAGAATTTTGAACTTGATCTCCTTATTTGCCTCATCTACTCTTCTATATTGCATGAATATTGCCAAAATTCTGTATTTCTTACTTTACTTTCATCTCCATAATTAAGCTTGGTGTCTTATTTAATTATTTTGTTATGTTCCAGGCCGAGAAGATAGCTTCAAGGATGATATATGAGGATAGAATGAGGGGATCTATTGATCAGGTTTGACCTACCTTAGATTTCATCTTAAATATGTGATTATAATTAGTTTTTTTACCTTTATTCTGCATGAACTGGATTCACATTAAATGCTGTTTTGATTGATTTTCTATTCAAATATGAAGCACGAGCAAGACAGCAATATATCAGTTGACGCTAAAGGATTTTATTTTAACTAGATTTTCCGGTATTACTCTTTATAACCAGCTAGAGGGTCTAGCAGCAGAGAGAAATCTAGAATAGCGTCGAGGAAGCCTCTGGTATTACTATTCTTAAAAAAGCTACTTCTTAGAAGGCAAGCAGGTTGATCAAAGCATAAAAAATCTGAGCATATTTTTCTGATCCTTAATGTTCCAATTAATTTGTGGTGTATATCTGTTGGAATTTCCTAAGGCTGTAACAGCCTTTTGGGCTAAATGCAACTTTTTTAGGAGGTTGTACATTCGAAACCCTCAAGTAGAATGAAGCTGAACTATTAAACATCGAAACTCATTTTGGTGTTATTGTTGGAATTTTATCAGAAACTTTAAAGTTAAATATGCTCGTGCAGGACACTTTTGGGATGGCTGACCTTCTAGGAAGATATATCAATTGGACAAAAACATAAGGCCATTAGGCCAAAGCGGACAATATCTATATAGGTGAGAGTTTGGGCTGTTGCAAATGGTATCAGAGCATTACACCATACTGAAGATGGGAACTAAATGTCATACAAAACAAAGTGCTTTACCATGCGAGCCATCTCTTGAATCTTGGATGAGACACAATACTTTTTGGCGGGTGTTGCCTCTTGAATTTGTAGGGGTCACCTCTAGAATCATATATGTCTGGTGAATGATTCTGGGTTAAAATCACTAACGAGGATGTCAGTTACTTAAGTAAGTGAGACTAAAACCCCTCAAGTAGAATGAAACCGAATTCTTAAACATTGACTCTCCTTTGGTGGAACAGTTGGAATTTCATCATAAACTCTAAAGTTAAGTGTGCTCGTGCAGCAGCTGTCCTTGGCTAGAAGTTACATCAACGGGGCAAATATATGTGGCCATTATACAAAAGCGGACAATATCTCGATGGGCGAGACTTCGGGTTGTTATAGTTTAAGGGGCTCTAGTTCATGATATTCAACTCTCATGATAGGGCTCGTCTTAGACTTTACCATGTGTATATCTTTGTTTCGAATCGGAAAATGGTTCAAGCAACGTATGACTTGTGTAGATTTGGGGTAATTTTGCGTACTGTAAACCAAGCAGTTTGACTATTGATTTGCAGGACTTGAGATGACTGTATTAGCGCTTTTCACTCGAAAAAATCGAGCAGCTTATTTCTAAAGAATAAGCTCAAAATTTAGAAAGCGTGCGTTTTGTACATATAGTAGTGTCTAAAAAATTCATAGTATTATTCTTTCAGAACTTATTCAATTTCTTGTTTTTTTCTATTATTTTTTGTTGATGACGTTTCTGTTATTCAATTATCAATCCAGGTTGAAGCAGTCATTCATTTTGAGGATGATACTGAAGAGTTGCAGCAATGGGATCAGCAGGTGAGTCTTTTTACTACCAGAATCTTGATCTTGCTATATTGTTTTGGGAAATTTACACACATATCACCCAATTGTAATGTATTTACAAATCCAACAGCTAAAGTTTAATATTTACATTAGCAACGCTTCGGTATCATAAATCTTTGCATGAAATGGTGTTTTTCACTTATAAAATGTAACTAGTAGTGGTATTTTTGTTACGATGTTGAAGTTTGAGTGTTATATATGTAAATATGAAATTTTAGTTGTTAGATATGTAAATGCCCTATTCTTTTTTCTATTCTGCTGCTACAGCCTGTTCGTAATATATTAATTGTTTCAAGCTCAGAATTTCTGTCAGCCTTTACTTGGACTAGCTTTATCGTTCAATTAATTGGAATAGAGCTGCTCAAGAACCAAATAGTTTTTCTGTAAAATGAATTCGAGTTGACATTTTCTTCCTGTCTAGAAGAGTATATAATAAGAGCAAATCATAATGTCAATAGAACAAAGGGGCATTGACATGCATGCCACACAATTCTTATGTATTTGCATATCCCACCTCAACATTCATATTTACATGCATACCTCTCAAATCTTTAACATCACATCAAAAATACCATTATCACTATCTTTCTAAAAGCCAAATACACACTTTCATGCATAGGCCCGGCTCTTTGCAGGGAGTTATTTTAATTTCGGAATATATAAAAATCCCAGTTTAGTCCATACGAACCTAAATAATTCTCGGACTCTTTAAAGTGCGGATTATTTTGACCCCCATTAAAAAAGGTACGGGGATTAGTTTGACATTTTTATACTGTCTGGGACTAAAATTATCTCATATAAATAGTCAAACGACCTTTCTTGCACTAAAAAAATTATGAAATTTGTATTTCATTCTCCTCTTCCTACTGTGCTGAATTTTTAGTATTGAAGATGAAATACTTGATTTGCAGATTGTGGGTGTATGCCAGGCGCTTAATGACATTCTGGACAGCATGGCAAGAAAAGGCATATCCATACCTGTATAATTTGGCAGCCTCCCACCTAATTTTTCTCTATTTTCTTCAGCTTAATCATCTGACAAACTATTAGATAGACAATCAATATCTGAAGTAAAATATTGTGCTTAATAACATTTACTTTTTGGGACATTTGCATGCATATCATGTAATCCTTGTTTATTTATATATGCAACACTTAAATTTTCTTATTTATATAGATCAAAGTATTATAAATATAAATATGAAAGCCTAGCTAGCTGTTACATGTAAATACATAAAATTGTGTGGGCATGTACATGTACATACAACTTAAAAGTGAAATGGATCTTTTCATGCATGGTTAAGGAGGCATATATGCAAAACTTGAAGTTTATGTGTTCAATATGTAAATACATAAGAATTAAGTGGCATGCATGTAAATTTTCCACTGCTGCTTCAGAATCAACAATGTTCTGCATGGCAGATTTAACCTGTCCTTTTCAAGTCTGGTAAAATGCTATCTTGCCTGCCTAACTGATTGAGAATTCATGATTTGTGACATTAGATAGAAATCTTGTCACATTTTTATGTATCTGATATTGAAATTTTAATAATTATATTTTAATTATTTTACTTATATATCAAAGGAATATATAATATGTAAAATATGATAATTATATTCTTAGTATTTTACTTTTATATGAAATTTAAGCTTTATTTCTCAGTTATTGCTGACCCTGAAATGTATTGGCTGGATTTCTTGATTGGATACAATTAATCGATCTGGGTTGTATTAAATTTTAAGGGAAATTTTCATGCCAAACAATACTTATGTGTTTGCTTTTATGATTGCTAGAGTTTGATATTTACATTTGTGAGACTAATAGTAATGATATTTTCATAATGTGATGTTAAGTTTTGGGTGTTATCTAGGGGGTATAAACGAGCCGAACATGAGCGAGCCCATGCTCACTTTCTGTTTGGCTTGTTTAGATTGGCTCGTTTATATTTAAAATACAAAGAATGTGTTCGTGTTCCGCTGGTTTGCTTGACGAGCCTAATACAAACTATTCGCGAATAAAAAATTATTTTGATAATCTTAAGCACATAGCTCTAGGATGTTAATTGTTGGGGGAAGGTTTAAATCTTATTATTTATATTAAAACATCATTTATATATATTTTAATATATTATTATTCTATTGTTTTAATTAATAATGTTAATTGATTATAACTCTTTGTAGCCTTGTAGTCAATTAAATTTTTTATTATATATATATATATATATAATTGATGAGGATTTTGAGCCAAAATGAGCTGAATACGAATGAACAAATTTTTGTTCAAGCTCACCTAGTTTATATATTGAGCACAATAATAGTGTTCATGTTCGACTCGTTAACTTAGCGAACGAATTGAACACAAACTTCTTAACGACCCAAACACGAGTTATTCGCGAATAACGAGCCGTATTGACAACCCTAGTGATATCTATGTAAATACATAAGAATTGTGAGTAACCATTGTATTTGCCCATAGTTTTAAATGTATGTTGCCCAAAAAAGTACTTATTGTCCTTCGAGGCCTCAATCATTCGAATCACATGAATCATTTATGTTAAAATAAATGTGCATTAAAAGCAAGAAGTTTATAAATATTATTATTTTTGTATATTAACAAAAAAATTAAGCCAACTTTATGACTATCAAGCAAAAATAATTGGTCGCCTTTTTTATTCTTTTAGGAAGATTTGCATACATGCCACTTAATTCTTTTGTATTTACATATCTAACACCTAAATTTCCATGTTTATGCATGAAAATGTGTATTTCAATTTTCATAAGTTAAATTGGTTATGTTTTTAATGTAATATAAAAGATTGGGGTGGTATAAATATAATAATTAAAGTTTAGGGTTAGATATGTAAATAAATAATAATTGGATGGTATGTATCTAAATGCCCCTTCTTTTTATTTCACGTTTGTAGTCTATAAATATAATGATTAAAACTATAATTTTTAAATAAGATAATTATTTCAAAAGCTATCTTCTAAAAGAAAAAAGATTGAATGCTTAAGAAAAAAAAAAGCTTAAAGTAAAAAAGATAGATATAAATAAATCAAACAATAACTATAAATTAACAAAAATACCAAAATATGATTAATTCATAAGAATGAATATCTTAATGGCTCCATTTGGGCAATACAACTCATCTTGCAATTGCTAATGTAAAATTATTACGTCTGGACTCCGGACATCCAATAAACTTACGCCACGTGGAGGTAACAAAAAAATTAATAAAAAAAATCGTTTTAGCACAAGGAAACATTCCCTCGTGTTATTTTGCGTTATTCAAGTGTTATTGTGACATCATTTATGTATTATTGTGTTATGAGAATATTCTCGGTGTTATAATAACACAATAACACATCAATACCACCATAATAACACCTGAATAACGCACAATAACTCAGGAGGAATATTCCCGTGTTACCGAGTTTTTTTTTTTTTTTCCTATCAGCTCCACGTGAAGGTGTTTCATTGGAGTCCAAACATATCTCTGCTCCGGACGTAATAATTTTTCGTTTGATGGGCAACAAATAGGAACTAATTGCAGCTCAAAAGAGATTAAATTAAAAATTACACTTTATTTTGATGCAAAACACATCCAAATGTGTAGTATTTACACTAATTTTCATACATTTACATATGTGACACCTATGCTTCTATATTTACAAACATAACATCCAAATAATACCATTATTACATTTTTTTTAAGTTAAATGCACCTTTCCATGCATAAATCTATGCCACCAAAATATTAAAAATGTAAATATAAAAGTTTAGAAGTTGGATACATAAATACTTAAGAATTGTGTGGTATATATGTAAATTTTCCCACTAAAAAAATAGAAAAATCATGGTGTGCTATAAAACTCAAGCCAGATGAGCTTACCCCACAATCAAATCAGGGAAATAAATATGAAAGGATAGGATTTTATCTTAGTAAATCATCATATGAGATCAAGGGGCCATTTAATTTGCTAAAAAAATAATAGTATTAGTGAAATATTATGTATTTAAAATATTTTGAAGATGTTTGATTCGATATAAGTCTAACGAATTCTAAATGATAAATTAAAAATTTATACTAAAACCACAATCTGGCAATGATCATACAAACACCACAAGTTCATAAGAAAACTGACAACACAATGGCTTACAATTGATTGTCACTGCTAAACAAGCATCTAAAACTTGCTTCATTTGCACCTGAAACTGAGAACTTGAACCAAACTAAGCAGCAAACAAAAGCTGAGTAGCAGCTGAAAGAACTCTCTGTGTTTCAGAACCAATTCTGTCCATTAAAATCTCAACAGGCACATTATCAAAAGCCTCAACTGCCGCCTTTGCCGCAGCGACACCCACCGCCGCACTTCGCAACACATCCAAACCAGAGCAGAGAGAAGAAAGCATTCCACCAACTAAACAGTCCCCTGCACCTGTTAAGTTCACCACTGAAGCAGCAGGAGCTGGAAGATGAAATGCAAAAGAATCTGAATTCTTCAGACCAAATCTCAGAAAACTTTCATACTGATGAGAAGGACAATATTTGTTTATAACTTCATAAAGTTCTCTATTTTGATGAGCTCCTTCATTGTTCTTCATGGTAATGTATTTTAAGAACTCAGTAGCCTCTCGGAAGCATAAGAATATGCCGTCGGAGCCGAGGGTCACTACAAGCAATTTTATTCCCTTTCCCAGCAAAAGATTTATTGCGGATTTTAAGAGATTGAACAATGATTGGATCGACTGCCTTCGTTTTCCGTTAGTTGAATGCTGTTGAACAAAGGTGAAGGTTGGTGTGGGGGACAGCGCATTCGCCATGGAAATGAGCTCATTTTCGTTAGGAGATGCACATGTTATCTGTAAAATAGAGAATGATATGTAAAGAAAGAATGGAAAGTATGTTATCCGACATAATTAGGGCTATTAGAAAAGCTTGTCTTTGTGAACACCTCGTATTCTGCTCTATAAGAAGTTTGTGTTCAATTTGTTTGTTAAGGAAGTGAGTTGATGTTGAATAGTTATTTTAAGCCCGTTTTCTTAATAAATTGAACATAAACAAAGTCTTGTTTGATCATGTCTAGCTCAATAATAATAATAAATAAATAAATATAAATAGGTAAATTTCCATACATACCACAATTCTTAAGTTTTTACATACCTAGCACCGAAAGTTTGATATTTACACTTATACAACCTTAGTTTCATAGAGTCGTGCATGAAAAAGTGGTATTTCACTTTTAAAAAGATAGTAATTGTGACATTTTTGACGTGGTGTTAAAGATTTGTGTGGTATGCATGCAATATGAATTTTTAGGTGTTAGATATGTAAATACATAAAAATTGTGCAGTATGGATGTAAATGCCCCCATATAAATAAATAAATGCATAATATGTATGAAAAACGTGTTCTAACACTCACATAATCTACAATAGATGCTATTCTCGCAGATTTTGTCACTGAAACTGGTTCAAACCACACTGGAGTACCAGATTTAGCTGCTACTGGAGAAGAGATAAAAACAATGCATCAGATTAATATGAAAGAAATATAGAGCATGTTCAACAACCTTGCTAAAGTGTTTATAATAGATGAACAAGAACTATAAATTTCGTGTTGCAAATCCAACCATTGCGAAATATATAAAACACAAAGGTATTTTATATAAAAGAAACATATTCAGTTCTCTATATCATTTGATCAATTATCCACTTCATTTCAAACTATTATCTTCTCTTCATTATTGTACATATTCTTAGGAAAAATTACAATACACTCACATCATTATTGAAATAAATCATGGAAGTTGAAATAAATGATTTGCTTGATCACGATATGGTATCCAGTTTTCCTCCTCCCAAGGTAACACTAATTGCCCGTTACTGAGTGTTCTTTGTAAACGTCAACCGTCTGATGATGCGGTTAAGAGAATAGATGTTTTAGATTCAACTTATATTGAGAAAAATAGAGGTAGAACTAAAAAGAATTGGGCATGTTGTATAAAAAATGATCTTAAATTATTAAAATTAAATGAAAATATGACACTCGAAAAAGAAGATTAATGTAGCTGGGCCACTTAGTGAAATAAAGGATTGTTGTTGCTGCTGAGTGTACGTTGAAAATTTTTAGCTTGAAGAGACGATTGTTTGCTAAAAAATTTGTTGGTTGCAAATGGGTTCACCCAAATTCACAAGGTTGATTATTTTGACATATTCTCCATCATTGCATGCCTAAACTTAGTTTGTGGCCACCAATAAATGGAGAACTATACCACAAAATGAATATCAGTAATACATTCCTTCATGGCGATATACAAGAAACTATTTGTATGGAGCTTAATTTGGCAATGTCATGGCTAAAATTGCTCTTCCAAGTAGTATTGCATATTATTTTATCTTTGTTAACCATACTCTTGCAGAAAACATCATAGTAATTGTTTATATCTACCATTTTGGCATATTTGAGGTAAAATACTATTTGCAAAACTGCTTTGCCATCAAATATCTGAGGCAAGCTAAATACTTTCTTGAAATTAGTTTTGATTATAATTAAAAAATGAATGTATCTTTCTCAAGAAAATAAGCCGTTGACCTCCCTAAAGAACATGACTCTCTTTGGCTGTAAGCCTCTTGATATACTTGTGGATACCCAAAAATTATACAACAACAACAACAACAACAACAAAGCCTTAATCCCACTACTTGGGGTCGGCTACATGAATCCTTTTTCTCCATTGCGTCCTATTTAGTGCCATATTTTCATTTAGTTCTAGTAAATTAAGATCATTTTTAATACAATAAGCCCAAGTCTTCCTAGGTCTACCTCTGCCTTTCTTAACACAAGTCGAATCTAAAACATCTACTCTCGTAATCAGATCATTAGATGGTCGACGTTTAATGTGACCAAGCCATCTAAGACGACTTTCTCTAATTTTGTCCGTCACAGGAGCTACACCAACCCTATCACGGATATATTCATTTCGCATTTTGTCTCTGAGTGTAAAGGCACTCATCCACCTAATCATTCTCATCTCGGCAACACTTAACTTATTATTATGCTTCTCTTTTAAAGGCCAACATTCAACGCCATATAGCATTGCAGGTCTCACCACCGTCTTATAAAATTTTCATTTCAGTCTAAGCGGTACTTTTCTTTCACACAAAAGGCCCGAAGCATTCCTTCACTTCAACCAACCAACTTGAATTCTACTATTAACAACCCCATCTATATCACCATCGCTTTGAATAACGGACCCAAGATATCTAAATCATTCACACCTTTTAATAATTTGATCACCTAAACTCACACTTCTGTCACTAAAACTATTTCCATATATTTAGTTTTAGTTTTACTTAAATGAAGGCCTTTAGACTCCAATGTAGACCTCCATAATTCAAGTTTTTCCTGGGTTTTTTCTCTCGTTTTATCCACGAGAAGGATATCATCAGCAAAAAGCATACACCAAGGTACATACCCAAGACTATGACTCGTGATAATGATGTATCACTTGATGATTCATCTAAATATCATAGTTTTGTTAGTAAGCTCATTTATCTATGTTACTAAACTTGACATCTCATTCATTGTTGGATCTATTAGTTAAGATATGCCGATACAATCCGACGCAAAAATCAGCATGAATTTTTACATAAATAAGGGCAAAGCAAATATTTTTCCTTAATAATCCAAACGCTCAATCCGAATACAAAGTTAAACACTTACAATTCAAGAGGTATGCGATCTCTCCTGATTCCTACATTTCGAGAGATACGAAATCTCTACTAAGCCCTAAACCTAGGACTCACAACAACAAGCTCATGCATAACCTTAACCCTAAACATAATTAATAAAACACTAAATTGCCCTTAAGCCTACAAAAGATAAAATTGCATAATCTAAGAGTAGGCACCGGTGCAAAATATGCATAATCTAATAAAAAATAGAAAACCATTTTTTGGATTCTATTCTTACACATAAAATGGTCCATGGTCCAAAAAAAAAAAAAGAATTTCTACATCCTAAATATGTGCATTTGAAGGCTGAAGTATTTTTTTTATGTCAACTAGGGTAGGCTATCTAAGACATGGAATCGACCTCTAAATATTGCATATTTGGAGTAGCTATGGTGAATTAAAAAGGTAAAAAATATATGGTTGTAGCCATATCTCAATATTATGCACCTAAAATGTAGTTTAAAACTATTTTATGAGAATTTGATTTTTCTATCGCCCAGCCTATGATTATGTTATGCAAATTGAGCCACCACCAACATCACCAACAATCATATTTTAAATGAAAGAGCCAAAAATGTTCAAGTAAATTGTCGTTTTATATGTAGATTTTACATGTTGTGCCTTCAAGTAAAATGTTACTCAATAAGGCCTCCATTTCATAACTAATAACGTATATTTTCACCAAGTTAATGAACATAGATATATGTGATACAACCCGAAGGTGAGTGTTAGCACATTCAACACTATGGCAGAACATATTCACATAACTAAGGGTATAATTCTGATTTTTCATTTTCATATTGCACTCAAATATCTTACAAATCAACAACAAAAATTTATTTTCCTCAAAAAACCTCTCAAAAGTGGACATTGTAATGTAAACATAATCAAATTATCATAAATGTGTAGGAGAATTACCATTGAAATAAATAATAATAAAACAACCTTACTTCGACAAGCAGCTTTGATTGATTCTGGATGTAGATTTGCATCAACCATCAATATTGGCGCCGAACATATGTAATGCTTAAACTTCCAAATCCATTCTGGTCTTAGAAATTTTTCCTAGTTCAATCAATGTAACTTCAGAAGAAAGGCTTGGATTTAACTTAATAAACAGCCAAAGTATAGATAATAAAAGAATGGAAGATTTACATACATAGCACTAAACTCCTATGTATTTACATAACTAACAGTTAAACTTCGATTTTTACATATATGCCACATTACCTATGCATGGAAAGGTGCATTTCATTTTTTTAAAGTTATAATAGTGGTATTTTTGGCATGATATAAAAGATTTGGGTGGTTGAAATGTAAAAAAAAAACACAAAGGATATGCGTTAATATGTAAATAAACAGGAATCCAGCGGTATGTATGTAAATGCCCCCAAAATAAAATCTTACAACAGCATGAACGCTTGCTACACCTGCAATTAACTCCCCACTGCAGTCAAAAATGTTGGATACAACTGGAGTAGAGATACCTTTCAGCTTCAGCAGTCCTAAAACAAAAAAAGGAGATATAATTGGGATAAAACAGCAATGCAGATAACATTATGCCTTTTGAGAACTAACACAGTATCAATTAGATAGCAAAGCAGGAATTTTTACTTGAAAGAAATCTGTTCATTACATGCATACCACCCAATTCCTATGTATTTACATATCAAACACATACACTTTGCTTTTAACATTTATAACACCAAAAATTTTCATATTACATCAAAAACACCACTTTTTCAACTTTCCAAAAATTAATACAGCTTCTCGTGCATGTGTAAGGTGGCAGATATGTAAAAAATGAAGTGTAAGTGTGTTAGATATGTAAATAGATAAGGATCGAGTGGTTTGTATGTAAATCTTCCTATTTTTTTATCGGCAAACAATCAGCTTTATACTTGTGCTTTACCTTCTGTGGGAAGTTCATTAGATTCCCATAATTTCAACAGCAATTCTCCTATATTTCAACAGACAAAATCAATCAAATTACATTAAAAAAGGAGGCATTTACATATATACCATTCAATATCAATGTATTTACATTTCTAACGGTAAAACTTTGTTTTTTACCTTTACCCCACCCAAATCTTTCATATCAAATAAAAAATACCACCTTTTTAACTTTTAAAAAATGAAATACACCTTCTCATGTATAGGGAAAAAAATTGCCTACATAAAACGCATGCAGCGATGCGTGCGATATCCAATCAAAAGACGCCACATAATCTTTGGCGGGCCCCACTGCATTAAATAAATATAATAAATCGAAATATATCCGCACGTGACCCGTTACCCGGCCCGTGGTGTAACCCGTTTGTACCTTGACATGTAACTCCGATATACCCTTCGTATATCTCCCGCGGTCGCCTGCTGTAACCCGATTGTAACCGGGATATACTAGTCATGTACCTTCCGCGGTACATGTCCATGTAACGCTCTTGTAACCGGAGTATACCCAAGATATACCTTCCGCGGAGCAGGGTCCTGTAACGCGCTTGCAACCGTGATATACCCCAGATATACTCCTACGTGGGTGTAACCTGCGCGGGTGTAACCTTCCTAAAACCGTGGAAGTAGCTTTGTACTATCGCTGTAACTCGTGATATACCTCGCTGTAACTCGATTATAATCTCCATATAACAGACTTTGAAGCCAGTATAGTAATACGTGCTCTGTATTAAAAGCATGTTTTTAATAATGCAGATTCAGCTTTTATAACCTCCATATATGTTCGTTTCTTAAATACATCCTTTTCATGATATATGCATTATAAACAAAGCTAGATCTGCATTATTAAAAGCATGCATTTTAAACAGAGCACGTATTACTATACGGGCTTCAAAGTCTGTTATATGGAGGTTATAATCGAGTTACAGCGAGGTATATCACGAGTTACAGCGATAGTACAAAGCTACTTCCACGGTTTTAGGCAGGTTACACCCGCGCAGGAGTATAACTGGGGTATATCATGGTTACAAGCGCGTTACAGGACCCTGTACCGCGGAAGGTATATCTTGGGTATACTCTGGTTATAAGAGCGTTACATGGACCTGTACCGCGGAAGGTACATGGCTAGTATATCCACGTTACAATCGGGTTACAGCAGGCGACCGCGAGAGATATACGAAGGGTATAATGGAGTTATATGTCAAGGTACAAACGTGTTACACCACGGGCCAGGTAACAGGTCACGCGCGGATATATTTCGATTTATTATATTTATTTAATGCAGTGGGGCCCGCCAAATATTATGTGACATCTTTTGATTGGATATCACGCATCTCTGCATGCGTTTTAAGTAGGCAAATTTTTTCCCATGTATAGGCAAGACGGCATGTATGTAAAAATTGAAGTTTAGTTGATAGATATGTAAATACATATGAATTGAGCGGTATGTATGTAAATCTTCTGAACTGTAACCTGCCATGTCAGATCCCAAAACACTTATCATGAAAGGCCTGCTTCCAAGCTTTGTCATACATTCAACAACATTTCTTGCAACTCCTCCACTCACATACTCAATCTGGAAGAATTCAATTCAAATTTTCTTCAAGAAAAAAAAAAACAAAAAATTGAATAAGAGAAGGGAGATTCATGGAAGCGCAGAAACTTATACAGTGCCGACGGTGGTCGTTCCAGGATATGGGTAACTATCGGGCTTCGCAATAATATCCAAAACCATGCCCCCGATAACAACCGGAGAAGACGAAGATTTATGCGGTTGATCGAGCCCTAGAAGCAGATTCTAAAAGGCAGAAAAGGAAAATTTGTATCGATTAAGCAAATTCTCAGAAAAAAACTTTCGTTGAGGAAAAAATCGGATGAATACCGAATCGATTCCATGAAAGAGGAGGGTTTCGGGTTGGAGGAGATGGCGGACGATTGATTTTAATCGTCGGTGCGCAGCATCCATGAGTGAATCGCGAGCTCAGAGTTTGCTTTCGCTGGCGGCGTTGCACCGGCGGAGCGTGGGTCCGAGAGGCGAGGTGCGGCTTCTTATGTGGTTTCGAGAGGAGCTGCGGGGGAGCGATGACTGAACTGCTATGCTCCGGCGATGGGGAATTCCTACGACGGCCAACGACGGCGGAAAACAGATCGTCACTATAAAAAAAATGGGGTTTTTTTATCCATACCATATAACTGTTGTGTATTTATATGTCTAACACCCACATTTATATATTTATAAGAATAACAATTAAATCTTTAGTAACACATAAAAATATCAATATTATTAAAAATAAACCACTTTTTTTAATAATTCTCATTAAATATTCAAAACGGCTATTTTTAAACTAATTTTATTTAATATCTATAATCATTTCAAATGAACATTTTTATAAGATTAATTTTAAAATAAGTTTTTTCAGGGGAAGTTAATTTTTAATTACCTTGTGCGATAGCTGCTAGAAAACTACGATCTAATTTTTTCACGCACAACTATAATCTGTATTCCCCCATCCCTCATCACGAGGGGCGGAAGCCGTTTTCTAGCTGCTTTCTCACTTGATATATAAATATATATATATATATAATAGTCACCATAACTTTTTAAATAGAAACTTCTGCAGTAACTTCATAGATACTTATTCAAACAACTACACCTGCTTCAAACAGTCCCTTGGTACTGTTTCATAATAGGCATCAGAATATCCCAACTATTTTGGCATGTGTTAATATGAATTGTTACCATGCCTTCAGCCTACTAATGATTGTGATTGAAAATTGGTAAGATAGGGTTAGCGCCTTTTCAACTAGAAAAGCTAAAGCTCTTAATTTTTAAAATGTTTCTAAAGTCGACTGGCCGAATAAAACTTGGTTGAACAGGTAATTAAATATGCACTTTATACTTTCATAGCTATTATTAAAGCTCTTAAAACGACAAACAAACTTGTTCCTCGCAGCCTTCAAATCAATTCATATTGAAGATTTTGTAAAGAAGAGCAATAAACTCATGACCATCTCTTTTTCGGATACCCCTCCTTCATGTGGCTCATTACAATCCTACTACACAATGGAAGCTTAACTCTTTCACAAGAAACTTATTACAAACTTTAAATGAGGGTTCTAATTATCATTGCAAAGCATCAAGAAGGTTGTTTTACCTTATCGCTTCTATTTAGTGCGGTTAACGATCCGATTTCGAGCTGAGTTGGGCTCAGCTCAAAATCCACTTGAAAAACTCTTCAGGGTATTAAATATCTTCCAGTTTGTGCAAAAAAGAAACCTACATATCATATGATAAGCAGAGAAGCATCAAATGCAAGTCCAACTTAATATTATCCGGTTCTACCGAACCATGTAAAACTTGTGTTTGATTGTTATTGTGTGAATTCCTACGCTTTCGCATTATTTTCACATAACATCTCAAACACCCTCCCACATGGCACACTAGATGACACTGTTTATAAATTACACAACCACCGGGCTTCAAGGACTCTAAATTCCCCAACCACGTTTGCAAGCTAAAAAGCTCCCCATGGCCTTACTATTTTAATGGATTTCTCAAGCAGTTGGGCTTTACTCTTTAAGTTCAGCTGTCCCCTCACTACTTATATACAAAATCACAACTCATCATCTATTCATTCTCATTTATGCGGATAAAATCCTAATTACTGGAAATAAATCAGCCTTCATACAACAGTAAATCCAAACTCCAAACAAGATTCAACCTCAAAGACCTAGGAAAACTTTTAACCTTTCTTGGCCACCAATTCCAACCTATAGCTCAAGGATCTCTCCTACACCAAAAACAATATATCCTGAACCTTCTCAACAAGACGGATGCAAGTCTGTAAACTAGTCTGAACACCCACAACAAAAAAACAAGCAACTAACTCACACTCTAAAGATCTATTTCTAAAGGAGACCAACTTTAGACAAATAGCAGGTTCTCTGCATTACACGACTCTTACAAGACCTGACATAGCATTTGCAACAAATCAAATTTGCCAAAATATACAATCACCATTGCAAGTACATTACCAACCGATCAAATGATTACTGAGACATCTGAAAGAAACTACCAACTATGGCTTACTATTCACCAGAGCACCTTACCTTAACAACATATTCAGATGCTGATTGGGCAAGTAACGAGGCAGATAGGAAATCCATCACTGGCTATTGCTTCATGTCGGGATCTACACCAATTCTATGGAGAGTTCAGAACTAGACGACAATATCAAAATCCTCCACTAAAGCTGAAGATTGTGCCCTAGCCGCAGCCACCACAGCATGGATTCGTCGTTTACTTCAGGAACTCGGCCTCACTCTCAATCAACAAACACACTTTTTCTGTGGTAACACTTTACAATTGCAATCACCAACAATCCAGTGTACAAGAGACACACCAAACAGATCGAAATTGATTTTCACTTCATCCGGGGCCACATAGCCGCCAAAACTCTGCAAATCAGATACATCAATTCTAAAGATCAGCAGGCCGATATCCTAACCATAAGTCTCTCAGCCTCCAAATTCACAAATTTGAGGGACAAACTTAGGATTCGAGCTCTCGAATCCTCATTTCGAAGGGGCCTGTCAGATCACATCACCCAGGACACAGCGTTACAGCTTCCACATGGAAGATTGGTACCCACACCCCACTATCCCTTAGCATAACAAACTGATGCAATCCATGCCTCTCACACTACATTTTCAATCCATATGATTGTATCACCTATGTACAATAATAGATTGAAAAAGAGCAATTCATTATACATAATCCTAGTCCTATAGTACATCTATTGTGAAGGGAATTATTCAGAAAAGCTTGCTTGCATTTCAGCACTGCTTTCATCAAAATTTACCACAATTTTAAAACTTCCTTTAGAAAAATCTGCAGCAAACCCAAATGGATCCCAACTCTTATCCAAAAAGTTAACGGATTAGAAAAGCGTGATAAGGTATTGGGATACATAAAAATAGGTCCCAAAGCAAACTAAAGCACCAATATAACATACTCAAAAGAGAAGAATCACAAATGTGATGAAACCCTTAACAAACATAGGAGATAGAGACCAGCCAAATTTTAGGTGTCAAAAAAAGCAAAAATCACGTGATGGCATAAACCCAACTTCAAGACCTAAGGAGAAACGCCAGCTTCCACTGCTCAAGCTCTCCACAACAAATCACAAGAAGACAAATCCAAAACTAGCTCACAAAAGGTAAAGTCAAACATCACCGTCTAAAGCAGCGGTATGGCATCAGGAAGTTGAAAATAATAAAATGAAACTCCATAATTTAGTGAGAAAAGAAAAGCAAACAATGGCACGCATAATAAAAAAGAAACGCCCTTATAGAATCATAGAAGTAATTAAATATGGCTACTACCACTACTACATCACTACGAAATGGTTTCGTTTTGCAGCTGATTATATATGGCTACTACAATACTAGACTATGAAGTGGTTTTGTTTTTCAGAAGAATACACTCCTCATCATGCAACTGGGAGTATGTCACTTTTCCTCGCACTAATGCCCAAGAACAACTTATCCGCTCAGCTAAAGCACTTACCTATGATTGTTGTTACAGAAAACATTCATAAAATGCAATAATGTGAAATTGTGAAATACATAATTTGGCAGTTCAATTTGGAAATATAAGATAGGTAGCCTGACTGATCAAGAAAAAAAAAAGTTAACTGGATGTAATCATAGAACTAAAAGGAAATGGAAAGCGAAAAAGAAATGGCAAGTGAACAGAGAAAATTAATTACCAACGTTTAAAAGGAATGAGGAAAATAGTATAAGCATTGTGCAGAGCTTCTCAACTGAACTTTTCCAAGCTGAGCTAACAAAGACAAATCCCTCTGTGCATGTACCAAGAAACATTTTCTCCATGTTTCCCCTTGCTTATACTGGAAGCAGAACTACATTATCAACCCATGGCTCTATCTCATTAAAGTGAAGGGGCATTTACATTCAAATCACCCAATTCATATGTTATAGTTGAGAAGACGCAAATAAAACATAAAGGAGAAATATATTCCCCGATAAGTATTTTCCCCCTTTACATTCTCAGGCCTCTATCACTGTCCTTTCTTCTTCATCCCCTCAACCTAGCTTCATTCTCCCATTTATATAGAGATGCCCTGGGAGAGGGAGCAGCAACTTGCTACAGGGCTTATGGCGTGAAAGCTCATATGAGTGTAGGTAGCAGATGATGCAAAGGAACAATCTCCATGCCATGGGCGGAGACCGTGAGCCATAAGTGGGGAACATGTAAACGACCTCCTTTTAATTATATATCTAACACCTAAACTTTGCTTTTACATCTGTACAACCCAAATCTTTCATATCACAAAAAAATACCATCATTTTAACCTTAAAAAAAAAATGAAATACGCCTTTTCTTGCATAGGTAAGTTGGTATGAATGTAAAAATTAAAGGTTAGGCATCAGATATGTAAATACATACGAATTGAGAGGTATGTATGTAAATCTTCCTAAGTGAACTCAGTTTTCTAGAGATCCACATGTCATTGGAATGTAATTGAAGAGTTTGGGATCCAAGCGCCACATACAAACATTTCTATTTAGTAGTTGTGATCCCTTAAACAATATAATCAGAATAACGAATCATATTCCATCCTTATAAAAAATTACAGAACAGTTCCAACATTACAATTTTGCACCTTTTAGCTGAATTGAGCAGTTACTAACATCAACAATGGTTTCAGGATTAAACCTCAACACATCAGCCTCAGAAAGAAACCTTCTTGCTAAATGGGTCTTCCCTGAGCTCCGCAGCCCTTCATAAAGCTCGGTCAACAAATTATCATCCGGGTTGATCCATGCCTCCAACATTTCCCTCAACATAGTAAGTGCTCCATCAAAATCTTTGTTCTTACAAAAAGTGCTAATCATAAGCTTAAATGTTTCATAATTAGGATGATATCCACTCTTCTTCATGGCACTGTAAATCTCAAAAGCCCTCTCAGAATTCTGCCTCTTGCAATGGCCGCTTATAAGTGCAGCAAAAGTTGATGCATTTGGTGCAACATTTTCTCGATCCATCTCTTTAACTAAGTACGAAGCTTTCTTCGTCTTACCTTCATTGCAGAAACCTAAAATCACTGCATTATATGTAAGAATGTCAGGCTTGACACCATTCAGGATCATCTCCTCATAAATTCTTAAACCCATATCTCCATTATGAATTTGACCATAACCATTGATAAGAGTATTGTAGGTCACGGTATTAGGACTGGCACCGTTGACTTTCATCTCGCTCAAAATCTTATTAGCTTCGTGCAATTTTCCTTCCTTGCAGAACCCATAAATGATCGAATTATATGTAATTACATTTGGATCCAAACCCTTAGTTTGCATCTCATTCTTCAACTTCATGGCAGAGCTCATGAGCCCTCTCTTACAATATGCAGTAATCAATGTGTTGAAGGAAGGGACAGAGGGGCTAAAACCCATTAACTCCATTTTCGCAAAAACATCCAAAGCCTTCTCTAATCTACCAGAACTGCAAAGAGCAACCAGGAACATGTTTAAGGTATACAAATTTGGAGAAATCCGACACCTTCTCATCTCCCTATAGAAGGACTGAACAATGTCGTGCCGTCCATGATCAATCAAAGAGCTCATAAAAGCATTGCATGATCGGACGGTCGGGAGGAAGCCATAATCTCTCATAAAAAAAAATGTCTCTGTGGCACTCCTAAACTTCTTCAAGTGTGCACATGTTTTGAAAAGAGAATCAAATACATTGGGTGAGGAATCACAAAGGCGGTAGGAATGGATTAGGGCATCAAAAAGCTCCAAAGTTGAGATTTTTGACAGAATAGTTTTCCTGAAAATAGATTCAGCAGCTCTAAATCTACGAAATTTGGCGAGTATGTGGAGGATGATGGCATGGGTCTCAAGGGTTTGAGAATTAGGGTTGTGGATAAAGGCCCAATCATAAAATTCAAGGGAGAGGACGGGGTCTTTCTGGATTTTGAGAAGGATGCGCTTGATTCTGAAGGGATTAAGACCATGAGCAAAGGAAATAAGCTTGGACCAGTCTCCATGAATCAAATGACTGTGAATAATGCTAACAAAGTCAAGATCATGTCCCCGCAAATCGGGGATGGAGCGGTGAGGAACTGGAAATATGCGAGAGTGGACTCTTACTTTAGAATCAATTTGTTTATTAATGGAGTCTACCTGAGCGCTGAACCTGCGAAATCGGAGATTTTTCATGAAGGATTAGATAGCTAGGGCTCATAGTAGGATTATTGAGAACTTGGCGATTGAAAGAATGCTGGTAAATATTAGCAAGTCAAATTAAAGCTTGTTGAACCTGCAAGAGATCCCTCTCTCTCTCTTTCTCTCTCTCTCTCTACCCCGCCGAGATCAGCGGTGGTGAGAATTAAGATGCTAGTGGAGGAGCGACGCCGAGGAACAACTTGCGGTCGCCATGGCTGCGAGCTTGCAGCAGAAGGACGAATTGGTGCCGTGTATGTAAATTTCCGCTCTTAAAAGTTTCATAAAAATAAAAATATAAAGCAGAATTTTATTGTGAAATTTTAAATTTTGGGCTAAATTTTGAAAAATGGATTAGAAAAGTGCTAAATTTCTAAATAATTGTTTCTTTTAGTTTGGAATTTAACTCATTTTTTTTTAAATGAATGATATATTATAGCACAGTGATCTAATTAATATTTTTTTTATCAATTACTGAGCTAAGAAAATTTCACATACATTTATAATTACTAATAAATTTTGGTTAAATTCAACCCAATTTTATTTTTTTCGAAAAAAATTTAAAATATTTTTAAATTTATATTTATTAAAATGCTATTAAAAACAATCTATTTTTTAAATTTACAATATTTTACAACATCAATATTGTCGGCATAAATCTTAGAACAATCGACCGACTAAGGATGATGACACAATGATCGAAGCATTATTCAAGTCCACTCTCGGAGAATCTGATCGACGGGTCTATCTACGGTCCTAATCGCCGAAGCTCTCTAAAGGTCGGTTGAACACAATCGTTAGGCCGACCGCTCATACCTCGACAAAAATGAAATTCCCACAATGTCCGACGTTTTGATCGATCAGGTAATTACCATCATATCTGAATTTAAATTGTAATATAAATTTAGTATTAAACTAGCACATTGATTTCATTGAGGGTTATTTTCATAATTGCTCCCTCATTTTGGTATTTCAAGGCTACTTTCATACTCGCTCTCTCTCTCAAGAAGACCCCCTATAAATAGGAGGCCCGACGATGAATAAATGAGACTTTTTCCACAATCTCTTTACTGATAATTCATCAGCGCTTTCCCTCTCTTTATTCCATCTTCTCCTGACTCTAAGTCTCGAAGCCATGTATTTCTAAGAAACAATTTCGGATTCAACATCCTGAAACATTGTGCAGTGACCGTGGACATGCCCCAGACGAAAAGTAGAGTGAACTACAAAGAAGAATCCTCACAGAAAGATATAGCGCCCATAGAATTTAATTGAGACAAGGTATGTCGAGACATACAAGAAGAGGTCCAAGCATTGCAAACACAAATAATGAACCAGTTCGAGGATCTTTGGGGGGCCATGATCCAACAGAATGCCCGATCGCCGCCTATGGAGGGAGAGTCTCAAGGAACCCACTATCAGAAGACTCCCCTCGATAATCCGCTGGCAGCTCCTAGTTGGCTCGGTGATCTGCCCACCGAAGGACCTAGAGATTCCAAACCAACAGACATGTTGCATCTCGCTCAAAATTTTAATGATTTGGTCAAGGTTGTGAAAACCGAACCGGGCATCAAACCAGAAGAATGCAAGGTTCAAGGTTCATTCATTGGATCAAGGTTGAATTGGAGGTCGAACCGCATGACGTAATAAATATAAAAATTAATTAAATATATCATAAATAACATAATAATGATATATTAGATGTAAAACAAACATAAAAAACTTTAGACATAATATATATATAACAACCTTGTATATAAAAATTACGTATGTTTTATGTTTTATAATGTAAATTTTATCACTTTTTAATTAATATTTGCATGCAATATATGATTATTAAGTCATTTATGTCATATTTAATTAATTCTTATATTTATTACATCATTTAGTTCAACCACCGGTTGAACCCCCATCAAACCAATGAATCTTAAACATTTCATTCTTTCGGTTTGATTTCTGGTCCAGTCCTCATAATCTTGACCAAATCATTAAAAATTTCATAAACACAAATGAAAATATTAAGATTTAGGTAATAATTCTATTTAAGTAAATTGTTAAAGCAGGGAAACCTTTTTTTTATATATAGAGTTCAAGCCACTTAACTATTAATCAGTTTTAAAATCTTAATAGTTAGCTTATCAAGTTTATATTGTAATGCCACTTTAATCAATTCTAGCTAATATGTTAATGCTAATAATTAAACCACTTAGCCTTATAACTAGCCCTATCATAAAACATTGCTAAGGAAAAAAAATAAAAGGAAGACATACCAATCAATTCCTATGAATTTACATATCAAACACCTAAACTTCAATTTTTAAAGAGAGAGAGAGAGAGAGATTTAAAAACTGGAATGCATGTTGAGCCGCACGAAGAAAATATTCAAAATTTGATCGAAGTTAAATCAGAAGACATAATAATTATTTAATTTATTTTAATATAATTTAAATAATATAATATTATCATTCTTATTTATTCGACAAACAATATTTTAATTTACAACGACTATTGAATATTTTGAATAATACTCTGAATAAAAAATTTATGGCATGACATTCTCTGTTTTAATTTAAATATCTTATTTCTGATCTTCTCATCAAAATAAAAAGACTAAAATTAAACAATATTTGAGCTCATCAGTTGTTTAGAAACCGAACCGGTTCTTTAGAAACCAGACCCAATTCACTGATTAGTCGGTTCACCCTAATTCTGACTAGTTCAATCCCATTTCTATGCAAAAGCAGTTTGGAGGTGGACCAAACTAGCTGCATAACTGATCATAATTTAACCGATTGAACCAGCCAGTCTAATTTTTAAACGCGCGCGCGCACATACTACCTTTTCAATGCATCAAAAGAAAGGTTTTACTTTCAAAAAGTGAAACAAATGGTATATTTGATGTGATTTGAAAGATGTGGGTGGTACAAATACAAAAAGCAAAATTTTAGGTGATTGATGAGTAAAAAATACATAGAAACTAGAATTTAATTGTGCAAGATAATCACATTGTTCATGGAAATCGAAAACAAAATACAAGAAAATAAACGCCTCGAAAATAACTGAAACCTGAGTTTATTTAGAACTTCATTCTTACAGTTCATTTAAGAAATAGAATGTGAAAGACTTCTGTGAACTATGAAGGATCTGATCATATTGCACGCATCAGTTGGACAATTTGGAGACAGTACCTGTAAGAATTGTTGTTTTATTCCTATTCCTCAGAACTTGTTGCTGCAGTAAGCGTTCTCAATTTCAGGTTCCTGAAAGACAAAAGAAATATCACCTCACATTTATGATTTCAAAAACCTGAACTTTATTATTTAAAAGTATAACAACCAAATCTTTCATATCACATAATGCATATGAAAGGTGACACACATGTAAAAATTGAAGTTTAGGTATGAAATATGTAAATGCATAGAAATTGAGGAGTAAGTATGTAAATACCACCCAATTCCTATGTATTTATGTATCCAAAAGCTGATCTTTATTTTTTTATATTTATACCAACCAAATTTCATATCACATCAACATACCCTTTCATGTATAAGAAAGGTGGCACAAACGGAGAAAATGAAGTTTAGGTATTAGGTAATGCAAATACATAGAAATTGAGGGGTAAGTATGTAAGCCCTTAGAGCAATTCTATGAAGAAGGCTTCATGTTTCTGCAGGAAGAAGGCCAGAGTTCGGATAAAAGATCAAAAGGTTGATCTAAAATGAGGTCAAAATAGCACCTTTTGAGCATTATTTATAGATATTTCAATAAGAATAATATATATATAAATAATTGCAACAGGCTTAGTGATAGCAGTAGATTTCCATTAGTCCGGTAATGGTAACCATGTGATGTTATGGTTATGGATGCTTGAAGCTAGAAAATACATTTTGAAAAAAAAAATGATGAGTTAGTTCAATTTATCATTTAATTTTATGCATTTAGAAATCAACACGGACTTTCAAATTCACAAACCTTACAAAAAAATGTTGTGCAAAATAATGCTGAAAACAAGCAAACAATCAAATATGATGTGTGTGATCTAAGTGGTTTGGTGAAAATCCGCCAACATACACGGGGAGGCGTTATTCAATTATCAACAAGTGGGGAGAGGAAAAAAAAAACGGCCAAAATAGGATTACAACTCCACACAGAAAAATCAGTTATATTTAGGGTTTAGGGTTTAGGGTTTAGATATATTTCTAATATAGAAAAGATCATATGATTAGATCTCAGCTAATTATATTGCTTAATATTAATCTTTCTAATATACAATCAATAGATTTAATACTTTCCATAACAAAAAGTCTCTCAAGTGCAATGATTTTAATTTCGCACATAAAATTAATTAAAAAAAATCATCATTTTCTAAAGTATATTTTATATCTACATTAGTTTGCTTGCAAGTTTGCTAAAGATGCAGAAAGTAGTGAGCTGTGAATTACCATAGTTCTGATGCTTCTTTGAAAACTCGCATAAAGCTTTCAAAATGGCTCCATATTTCATGGATTTTAGTGACCCCATATGCCTGCATTATAAATCATACAAGCAAGCTATAAACAGTATAAATTATATATATATTAAAAAAAAAATACAACATGGTTCGCTTGAAGAAAATTCCAGACACTCATATACCACTTATCTCAAGCAGGACGACATTCATATAAAATCATCAGCCTAATTGCGAATTTTGTAAAATTTATGTTTAAGCTTCCATGATAAGCTCTAATCACACAAAAATCCAAAAATATTTTATTTTAATAGTTCAGACTGGTTTCTTAATGGTATATCCTTATCTATATTTCTATTCTTCTGAATAATAAATCGATTATACTTACACCTATCATGCTTACATAACAATTTATTTTCTAATAATATTAAATGATAAATATTTAACATGATAGTCACTATAATAACATATCATTATTTAATTTTTACTCTACTAATTCTAAGCCTTTAGCTTTTAATTGTTTAACCATCGTTTTAAATTTTCACTTCTATTCCATGGTCTCACCATTTAGAACATTCTATGCAAAAAAACATACACTAAAGCACCATGCTTTGAATAGTTTTTATAAGTATCTCCATAGTAAATACAAAAAAGAATAAAAACTATTGTTAATATTTAATGTAGATCCACAATCATTCAAAAGTTTTGAAATTTTAAAAAGAAAACAATAAAAAAAGTAAGAGTTACATACATACCACTCTATTCCCATGTATTTTCATATCTAACACCTAAACTTCAATTATTACATACATACCAACTTATCTATGCATGAAAAAGGTATATTCACTTTTTGAAAGTTAAATTAGAGTGTGCTCGGAACGGCTGTTGCCTTTCGAAGAATCAGCTATGAAGTTGCTTTTTGGAGAAACAGTTTCACATGTGCTATTAGAAAGCTGTTGTCGAAATGACAAGAGTACATTTGGATAATCTGCTGTGTTGTAGCTATTTCTGATGAAAAAAACAGTTTTATCCTCATATAGTCATATGTAATTCATCTGAATGACTTCAGCAAAGGAAAACTTTTCTTTTGGCCAAAACATAACAAATAAAGATCAGCTGCACTCGAATCATTTTTCTTGGGGCAAAACAAAACTCAAATAATTAAATTCACATTTATAAAGGTTTGCTCAAGCACCAAACCACCAATTGAGAGGAAAACCAACAAACACAACCTCAAGAGGAAAACTGAAAAGCTCAACTGGGAAAACAAATACTTAAACAAAAAGTAACATATGACCACCACAGAGGACAACCAGGAATCCCCATTGGCACCACATCAACCACCAACAGAGAAGAAAACAATCAACAAAGCACCAAACCACCAATAGGTAAACCGAGAAGCTCAACAGGAAAAGCCATATACCACCTCAAGCAACAAACCACCAACAGGTAAATTGAAAAGCTCAACAAGAAAAATAAGTTGAAACAAAAAAAATCGAACCTCAAACATAGAGGACAATCGAGAAAGGAAGGAGAAGAATACTACATACAGAGAGAGGCGGCGGCGGCTAAGATGAACGGAGGAGAGAAGGGGCCAAAGAACCAAGATTATGCCCTAAAGCCACAACGAAAACGAATGGAGGGAGACGAGGACGAAGAAAGGTATTATCTGGGACTCCCTAAGTCATTTTCCGAATTGTAGACGGGTAAATTGGTTTTCGTACCCAGAACGGAGTAATAACTGTAGACTGAAGGGCCAAAGGGGTGTTCTCGGTTTCGTCGTTTCGAAGTCGCGTGTTGTCGAAAAGCACATGAAAAGGGCCCTCCCAAATGGTTTGAAGTGCTTTTCAAACCAAAAAGCAAGTGAAACGCCCTCTCAAATGCACCCTTAATGGAATTTTTATGTGATAAGATTTACGTGGTGTAGATGTAAAAAACCGGAGTGTTAGACCAAAGCCTACGACGCCATCCGCCTTGTGTTCCACTGAGTTGGTGAGATTTACGTGGTATAAATGTAAAAAACCAATGTGTTAGATTGATGCCTATGGAGTTGTCCACCTCATGCTCCACTAAGTTGACATCGAGCCCACCAAATAATTTTCAAACTTATGTTAAACACAAGACTAACATGACAATTTAGTCATTTATTAGTCATGATTGTGGGGTATAAATAAGGTTTAGATTGTTTAGCGTTAGGTTAGGTGATTATTAGTTATTATTCTGGGGTATAAGTAAGGTTTAATATGTTTAGCGTTAGATTAGATGATTGTTATCTTGAATCTTAGGGTTGCGGCTTGGGAGAGATCACCCACCACTCGAATTGTAGGTGTTTATCTTTTATGTATTTGGATTGTGTTATTTTATGTTGTTGAAGTAAAATATTTTGTTTGTCTTGCTATTTGTGGAAACTCGTCTCTTTATCAAATTGGTGTCAGAGCCAAACAATCCTTTTGTGATTCATAGTCGCATGTTACGGTCCTTTCGTGATTTGCAGTCGCATGTCGCCTTTGTGACCAAACCTCATAATATAGCCGCAATTCGAGCTACCAGGGAAACCAATGACCGAATCACGACATACAAGATCGGTCACACATGCCTTTTGCATCGAACCTCGCAATACAGTCACGATTCAAGCAAATTGGGAAGCCAACAACAGGACTGTCAAGCATGCCTTCATGACCACACCTCGCAATACAGTCACAACGAGATTGCGGTGTAGAAGAGTTTTGCCTTCATGATGAAAAATGGTCCTGAGAGTAATGGAGGCCAAGAAAGTAGATGTCTTGAAGAAAAAAATAGAGGGAGAGGTGAACTAAATTAGATCTGGAATGGAAGAGTAGTTCTCGTTGAAAAAAATCACAGAGTTCCATGCAAACCCACCTCGTGGTTGAGAGACTGCATCTAGAGCGGACGCTAGCAACAAAAGTCAGAGAGATTCCCATGGCATCAAGGCAATGCCCCTGCCTTAGGCGGATCTGGAGCCATGGGAACAAAGTGAAGAATCGAGAGCGAACTCAAGCGACTACACTTAGAAAGAATAGTGCGGCATCCGGGCACCTAGAATGAACATAAGCAGGCAGGATTGAGCGAAGGAGTCGGGAGAGGATTTGAGCGGCAACATCTGGATGGAATTGTGCTACATTTGAAGGTTTGCAATGAGCGGTAGTAGGTAGAATTGGATGTTGCTCACATCTCGGCTGAAGAAGATCGATTCGAAGGATTTCGGTCTGGAGCAGGAAACCAGGATGGATGGGACTCTGACATAGAGCTACGTCCAACTGTGTCGGTGCCTTTTATTGTGGCAGATGATTTAGAAACCTAAGGGGAGGGGCGATGGGGTGAGTCAGACTTATAAAAGAAAATAAATTAATATACCCCGTGCTTCATGGGTGGAATGAGCTTTGATCAAGGAAATTTGAGAGGAGACTCACGCATAAAGAAGTTGAAGATGTCTATCTTTGAAGGAGAGGATGTCAAAGGTAGGATTTATCTCGTGGAGAGATGCCTTGTTGTTAATAGGCTAACAAAGGAAGAAAAATTGATGGTGACGGCCCTATGTTTGGAAGAAAAGGCTCTATCATTGTATCAATGGAAAGAACAACATCAGCCAATCAGAATATGAGAAGAATTCAAGGACCGATTGTTGGAGTATTTTCGAATCACGCAAGAAGAGGATTTACATAGAGCAAATTTTTGCATTAGTTCAGGAAGGGTCCGTCATGAATTATAAAGAAAATTTTGTGATACTATCTGATTGTTTGAGAGGGATATCATAAGTAGCATTAAAAGGACGCTACATGAAGAGGTTGAAGCCAAAAATTTGAGCAGCACTTCGTCTGTTGAAACAATGAGGCTTAGAGAAAACTATGGAATTGACGGAATTGATTAAAGATAAAAATACAATGAAAATTGTTAATAGGAGTAACACAAGTGGAGTGTGATACCGAAATACTACAACCACGATGGTACCAAAAACTCAAATAGTGGGATTCCAGATGGAGGCTCCACAAGACAGAAAAAATGACCCATGATCGAGGGTGACATTCAAACGCCTTACAACGACAGAGATTCAGAAGAAAAGAGTTAATGAGTTATGTTTTCGGTGTGATGAGAAATTTATCCAAGAACATCGTTGCAAAGATTGGCTCTTATAGGTTTGAACAGTGTGTGACGAGTAGGTAGGGGATAAGAAAACATAGGAGGTTGTGGTGGAGGAACACCCTCAATTGGATGTAGTAAAAGTTTCATTGAACTCGATGGTGGGATTAACACCGAACCGCATTATGAAATTTCGAAGATAAACCAAAGAGCAAGACGTAGTGGTGTTGGTAGATATTGAGATCACCCGCCACTTCATATCCACTCAAATAATGAAATAATTAGGGTTTAAGATAGTTGACAAAGGAAGTTTTTGAGTTACGATGGGGATTGGACAAGTGGAAAAGAGCAAGAGATATTGTAAAGGGGTGATTTTAACACTACAAAATATTCAAGCAAAGGAGGATATTTTTCCCATGGTTTTAGAGAGCATTGATGTAATATTAGGTATGAAATGATTGCAATCTTTAAGGGAGACTAAAATGATTGGAACTCCTGACAATAGAGTTTTAGGAGGGAAATAAGATGTTGGTGTTTCACGGTGAAACTAATTTATGCAAGATCTTGGTGGCACTCAAGACCAAGGTTAGTGCAATACAGAATGCAGGGCTGGGATTCTTGATCGAGTAATATAGAATGAAAGAGACATGATACGGAGTTGGCAAAGATTAAGACACCGATAACAACTCCTAAAATAATTTATAAAAGTTTTTCAATTACCACGTGGATTTTTGCCTTAAAGGGAACATAAGCATGCAATAACCATGAGACCGAGATTCTCTCCCATTACAATGCGCCCATACAGCGCTACCTCCAGATACAAAAGGATGAGATTAAGAGATTGATTTAAGATATATTAGAGTTCGAGATCATGCAGCCTTATGTTAGCCCATTTTCTAACCCAATCTTACTAGTGAAGAAAACCTAAACAAGGATGGGAGTTTACGTTTTTGTGTTAATTATTAAGCAGTGAATAGGGA